AGCATAAAGATTACAAAGACTGAGTCTTCAGAGCTTGTGGCTACAGTAACCCATTTTCAACCAAGAGGAAATTGGCACATAAATAAACCCTGTTGAGGACACTTTTGAGTGACGTCTTCAGCAATTCAAGTGCAGAGCGAACAACTTCCGGCAGCAGAACTGCAGTCACTTCACGTAAGTCATCTCTTAAAAGGCCATTTATAGCCACATAGGAAAAACACAGCTCCTCTGCTCTGAAGACAATTAGCAATTCATGGAAATCTTTGCGTGAGACCTCAGTGTTCTGAAACAGCCTGTTCACAGCAGGCCCCTGTACTTTGTCATGGGACGTTATCCTGCAAATCCATTTAAAACCTGAAGCTGAAGGACTGTATAAAGATAGCCCAACTATCATATATGTAGAAAACTTAGCAGTCAACTATCAACATTTCAGCCAAATGGATGTCAGAGAAAGTCATCTTGGTTGCTGCCACCCTCCAGCCATCTGCAACAGCTGGGAGTCAGTACTTGAAAACAAGCACTGTCAGAGGCAGACACACCCTATGGGGGGAGGCATTTCCAGTCTCAGAGTAAAGGCTTGCCCACTGCTCCTCCCAGCCTCCTCTTGCTGGGAAAAACAATCCCAAAGTGAAGTTATTCTCTTTCGTGGTATAAGCAATCCCCAAATAAATCAGTGCTCTTACTGAGCTTCTGGCACAGCCCACTTCCTTGATCAAAGCAGCTTCCTCCATACGCTGGTCCCTAGTTTTTTTGCCTGTTACATAAACCAGATCAACCTAGTTTCTTATTGCTAGTTTCTTTCAGCTTCAGCTACATCTGCCCACCAGACCTGAAGTCTTCTGTGTGCTGCTGAGAAACTAGTTAAGAGCTTGACCGGTTCGGGGCAAGATGCCTCCTGGGTGGCCTCTCCATCTGGAGTTTGTCTGAACAGGTAGCACAGCCCACATTAGTCTTCTGAGGTGATGCATGGACATGCTAATCCTCCATAAAAAGTATTAAAAGATACCAAGCAAGAAATGTGTTTTGTCCATGGCATTAGAGGTCATGAACCAGGCCCCCAAAATAATTCAAATCAACTCAAGTGATTTAATCAACTATCTGCCTTCTGGTTTGATCTTTTAGGTTTCAGTTTTACCTCTCACAGCTGCAGAGGAAGACATTTAACCAAAACATTTAAGTACTTAAAGTCAGACCTGGGTCTTTTGTTAATGACAAACATAACGCACATTTCAACACTGAGAAGAAACCAGTAAGGAGAATATAGCAGATGAAAGGACCTGTTGTGATGCATCAGGAGGAAGAATCAGGGAAGTTATGCAGGATTCAACAGCAAGAAATTTAAGTTAAGCATCCTCTTCACTTGAAATTAACTTTTTTCTTTCAGAAAAAAATTAAAACCCCCAAAAGCATAGTACAACCATGCATTTTCTAACCTGCAGTGTAGTTTAGATAGAGCAACTAGGTAAGCTTAAATAGAATACATGAGGCTGTTCTGAACAGAGTAGAGCTAATTTTTCAAGCTAGTTTAAACTTTAAGTTTTTTTGAGCCTAGAGATCATCTCCTAATCTAACCATTTTCCTCCATGCTTCTAAATATACCAGTAAAAACAAACTATTCCCAGTAGCTGTAACCAAACATCTATTTCATGTGCACACAGCTTTAATGACTTATTTCTCACAAGTGTGAAACTGAACAAGCATTTACATGTCACTTCATAGCTTTTGTAATCTGTTCTCAACATTTTGGTTTACGGCAAATTAACTTCTAACAGTCTAGCACTTCTTCCCTCCCCTTCCCCAAATTCTTTAGTTCCATTCTTAATGAAACAAAACTCAAAAGATTGTGCAACACAAAGAACAGCACAGCTGCAATGTCAAGACAAATTAGTCTAAATACAGCAAATGAGAATATGAAGAAATACTGTGTTTGGGAAAGTGATTTTTTTAATTAAATTTTGGATTAATTATTCTTAAAGAAGAAAGCAAGCATCCAAAGAAAACAATGTTAGCAGTATGCAGCTCAAGACAATAGATACCAAATGAAGAAAGCACACCACAGTAGAAAAGTATGTGCTACCTCATGTTTAGAGAGTTGTCTTTATACCAAAGAAATAAAGCAGAAACTTAAAGAACCTTATGTGTTTGTACCTACTGCTTCAATACAGTAATTTTCTTTCTTACTTTCTGCCTTCTGTCAGCCATTTTAAACTCTTTTGATGGCATAAACAGCCTGCTTTACTGTAAGGCAGGAATTTCTTTATGCCAAAGGAATAACTCATTTTCCATCCAGGCCTATCAGATAAGGAGCATAGAGCATGGCTATCCTTCTGGGGCTGATCAAAACAAGTGAGTTTTTACATCAACATAGTTATCCCCAGCAGTGGTGTACTAGTATAACAGGACATTTCCTCCCAAGCCACAGCTATTCCTGACTGCCAGAACAGCTGCATAACTGCAAAAGAGTGCAACATTTGGGTAAATGTATTGTTTCATCTTCATGTTAAACACTATTTGGCCAGACTCAAGAAACAAAATTGGTGCAATTAGTTAAGAACTCATCCGGACAACTCTGGGAG